CCATGAATATGGCAGGAGCATTAGTAACACCGAACGGCATTACTACGTACTCGTAGTGACCATATCGAGACCTGAATGCAGTCTTCTGAACGTCACCTTCCTTAACCCAAATCTGATGATACCCGGACCCCAAATCAATCTTTGAAAATATAGTAGCCCCATGCAATTGATCCAATAGAACATCAATCCTAGGCAAGGGGTACTTGTTCTTGATGGTCAGCTTGTTTAATTGTTTGTAGTCAATACAAAGCCGAGAGTTGTCATCCTTCTTCTTCACTAAGAGTACTGACGCTCCCCAAGGTGATGCGCTCGGCTTGATAAATTGCTTATTCATTAAATCTTCAATCTGACCTTTGAGGTCGGTCAACTCTGCTGGCGACATTTTGTATGTGTAATGGAGACTAGACCGGCTACTGACAATAAGTCAATTGAGAATTCCACTTCTCTTGGAGGGGGTAATCCTGGGACTTCATCAGGAAACACGTCCATGAATTCCCTGATGACCGAACGGTCATCCTTCCTTTTGCCTTGTATCGAACGTCCAGAACGTTCGTCCTCAGCTGCTTCTAGATAAGACAATACTAAGAAGCAACTAGCACCCTCCATGATATCTTGCCTTATTTGGCCAAGCGTTATCGAATACTCTTCCTCTCCATGAGGAAATACCAGTCTCTTCTCACCACAATCTATAAGAATGTGATTGGCAGCCAACCAATCCATCCCTAGAATTACCTCCAAACCTTGAAGAGGTAAGCGAATGAGGTTAACTTTAAATCTATGTCCCTCAACCTCTATAGGACTTCTAACGCAAATAGTAGACGTCCTAACCTCACCAGCCGCTGGGGTTGACACCACCAAGTCGAACTGCATCTCACTCTCTGTCAATCCCAGTTTCTCAACGCACGCCTTCGAGATGAAGGAATGTGTTGTCCCCGAATCATACCATACACAACAAGATTTCCCATACAACAAGCAAGTACCGATAATGAGGTTACCTGAGCTTGCTGCTTTCGTGCCCGTTATTGGATAAAATCGATCAGTCGTTTGCGCTTGTCCACCTCTCCCTTGTTGAACTCTTCCAGCGTTTAGTGGCCTCATTGCAGCTCTACCCCCCATGTTACACTCGCTCTCCAGATGACCATTTTTTCTACAGCGAGTGCAAAACTTTCCTCCCACCATCTGAGGACATGACAAACGGTAGTGGGGTCCTCCACATTGAAAACAAGTCACCGTCCCTTGCTGTCCAAACCGTCCGACAGCAACCACTGAATGAGTTTGAGACCCACTAGCATTAGAAGGCAACGCTGAACGAGCGTAAGGCGTCCTCCTCAGATTCAAATTGCTTCTAGACGAGACCGGTCCCCTAACCGCCTGTTGTGACTTCTTCTGCTGTTCTACTTCTGCCACGTTCTTCTCCAATACTTTGGCTCTCTCCACCATGACAGGAAAGGACTTAATACACAGGCTGGATATCAGCAGCTTCAAATCACTCCTCAACCCATTTTCAAACTTCCTACACTGCCACTCTTCACTGGTAGCCATAGTGTTAAATCTCACTAAGTGCTTGAACTTGTTGGTGTACTCCGACACTGACATCCCACCTTGCACCAACTGAAGAAACTCCACCTCCTTGGCAAAACGAACGCTATCTGGGAAGTATTCTTCATAAAACTTGCTTCTGAATACTTCCTATGAGATGGGACTTTGGGCGTCCGCTAGAATCATCTTCATACTCGTCCACCAATGACAGGCTTCCCCAGTCAAGAGATACTCTGCAAAGGCTAGCCTCTTTTCATCTGGACATCCTTTGGCATTATATATCCTCTCCATATCACGCAACCACTGATCTGCCTCATCAGGAAGGCACTTCCCATTGAATTTGGCTAGGTGATGCTGTAGAAAACTCTCTAAGCTCCACTCGGTCTGATGAGTAGCTGTGGAAGTGGAANGAGAAAGGGTGAGATTTCGTAGAGAGAAGATGAAGGAGATTTAGAGAGAAGGGAGAGAATGAAGTTTCAGAGTTTTGGAAGAAAGGTTGCATGCAGAGAGTGGCGTGAGTTTTCCTGAAAATCAAAGTTTTGCTTCCCACGTAAAAAACGGACGTCTGCTCATCTGCCAACACCTCCCCTCTACCAGCTGAGTGTCAAGCCCCTCTCTTGACACGTGCAATCCATTAAAGCGAATCCTGAGTGGATTTTAATTGCTCTGACATTCTCCCTAACTTCAAAAATTTTCGTCCTCGAAAATTTAAGACTTACTAGAGAATAGATGAGGGTACAAGTCTCGCATTGCATCTTCCACTTTCCACGTAGATTTGCCCATCTTCTCGTCCCAGACCACTCTCACCAGTTTGATGGCTTTTCTCTTGTAATACTTGGTTCGGCTATCTTCAATACGCACCGGTTGCATCTCTAACGTTCGGTCTTGACGAAAACGAATGTCTTCTAACTCTAGTACATGAGAAGGGTCCGCTATGTACTTCCGAAGTTGAGAAACATGGAAGACTGGATGAAGATTGGATAATTGAAAAGGTAATGATATCTCGTACGCTACCGGTCCAATGCGTCTCAAAATTTGGTACGGTCCAATGAATTTAGGGGACAACTTCTTGGGACGAACGGCTCTGTCTACTCTAGTAGTTGGATTCAATCTAAGAAAGACATGATCTCTTGCAATGAACTCCAAAGGCCTTCTTCTCTTGTCTGTATATGACTTCTGTCTGCTCCGAGACGCTTTCAACCTCTCTTGAATCAATTTCACCTTCTCGGTCGTCTGCTGAATAAGCTCAGGTCCAGTCAAAACCTTTTCTCCTTCTTGGAACCAACAGAGTGGCGTTCGACACTTCCTCCCATAAAGAGCTTCAAAAGGCGTCATTCCAATGCTGGACTGAAAACTGTTGTTGTATGTGAATTCAACCAAAGGAAGAATTTCATCCCAAACACCCAAGTAGTCCAGTACGCACGTTCTCAGCAAGTCTTTAAGCGTCTGGATGGTTCTCTCGGATTGGCCGTCCGTTTTAGGGTGATACGCTGAGCTCATTTGTAACTTGCTACCTAACTCATTTTGCAAGGACTGCCAAAACCAAGGAGTAAATCTTGTGTCTCGGTCAGAGATGATGCTGGATGGTACTCCATGCAAACGAATGATCTCGTTGATGTAGAGTTGTGCAAGCTTCGTCATGGACATCTTCAGGTTGACAGCTAAGAAGTGTGCACTCTTAGTCAACCGATCCACTATGACCCAAATGAAGTCGTGATTCTTAACCGTACGGAGTAAGTGAGTCACAAAGTCCATAGAAATGTTGTCCCACTTCCATTCAGGAATCTCCAACTATTGTAGTAGACTACTCGGTCTTTGATGCTCCGCCTTTGCTCGTTGACAAGTTAAACATGATGCCACAAACCGAGCGACATCATTCTTCATTGCTGGCCACCAGAAGGACTTCCTGAGATTTTGATACATCTTAGTCATGTCAGGATGCATGCTAAGGCGACTTTGATGTCCTTCCTCAAGAATAATCTTCTTCAGCTCACCATCATTCAGAACGCACGTCATGTCTCTGTATCGTAAGAGACCGTCCATTCCAGTATTGAAGTATTTGGCTTTGTCTGTACCGAGCGCGCTTAAGATCTTCTGCAGGTCTTCATCCGTCGATTGCTTATCCCTGATTTGGTCAAAGAGGTTACTGGATATTCTAAGGTTACAGCATCTGATATTGTTCGGTTCCAAGTCGAACTGCAACCTTAGATCTCTAAAACTCTCAACCAGGCTGAGTTCTCTTACCATCATAACCGAGACATGAACTGCTTTTCTACTTAAGGCATCCGTTACCACATTAGCCTTTCCCGGATGATAAAGCAGTTCAAAATCATAGTCCTTCAAGAACTCCAGCCAACGCCTCTACCTCATATTCAACTCCTTCTGATCAAAGAGGTACTTGAGACTCTTGTGATCATTGAAGACTTGGAATGTAGATCCATACAAGTAGTGCCTCCAAATCTTCAATGCAAAGACTACCGCTGCCAATTCCAGGTCGTACGTGGGATAGTTCCTCTCGTGAATCTTCAACTGTCGAGAAGCGTACGCGACCGCCGTTCTTTCTTGCATAAGCACACAGCCCAAACCTTGATGAGAGGCATCACAGTATACTTCGAACGGTTTGGCCGTGTCAGGAATAACCAAGACTGGAGCGCTCGTCAACTTCTGCTTCAGTTCTTGGAAACTAGCTTCACACCGATCGGTCCAAGCGAACGGGTGATCCTTTCTGGTCAGCTGCGTCAACGGTATTACTATCTTAGAGAATCCTTCAATGAAACGTCTATAGTAGCCCGCCAGCCCCACGAAACTTCGGACTTCAGTGACCGAACGCGGACTCTCCCATTCCAATACCGCTCGTACCTTGGTCGAATCCATTAAGACACCTCCAGCAGTGACTACGAGCCCCAAGAACTGCACTTCATTCATCCAAAACTGACACTTGGATAACTTGGCGTACAACTCCTTTTCCCTCAATACACCAAGTACCATCCTCAAGTGTTCTTCATGTTCTTCACAACTCTTGGAGTAGATGAGGATATCATCAATGAAAACGACCACAAACTTATCCAGGAACGGCCTAAATATGCGATTCATATAGTCCATGAATATGGCAGGAGCATCAATAACACCGAACGACATTACTACGTACTCGTAGTGACCATATCGAGACCTGAATGCAGTCTTCTGAACGTCACCTTCCTTAACCCAAATCTGATGATACCCGGACCCCAAATCAATCTTTGAAAATATAGTAGCCCCATGCAATTGATCCAACAGAACATCAATCCTAGGCAAGGGGTACTTGTTCTTGATGGTCAGTTTGTTTAATTGTCTGTAGTCAATACAAAGCCGAGAGTTGTCATCCTTCTTCTTCACTAAGAGTACTGGCGCTCCCCAAGGTGATGCGCTCGGCTTGATAAATTGCTTATCCATTAAATCTTCAATCTGACCTTTGAGCTCGGTCAACTCTGCTGGCGACATTTTGTATGTGTAATGGAGACTGGACCGGCTACTGACAATAAGTCAATTGAGAATTCCAATTCTCTTGGAGGGGGTAATTCTGGGACTTCATCAGGAAACATGTCCATGAATTCCCTGATGACCGAACGGTCATCCTTCCTTTTGCCTTGTACCGAACGTCCAGAACGTTCGTCCTCAGCTGCTTCTAGATAAGACAATACTAAGAAGCAACTGGCACCCTCCATGATATCTTGCCTTATTTGCCCAAGCGTTATCGAATACTCTTCCTCTCCATGAGGAAATACCAGTCTCTTCTCACCACAATCTATAAGAATGTGATTGGCAGTTAACCAATCCATCCCTAGAATTACCTCCAAACCTTGAAGAGGTAAGCAAAGGAGGTTAACTTTAAATCTATGTCCCTCAACCTTTATAGGACATCTAACGCAAACAGTAGACGTCCTAACCTCACCAGTCGTTGGGGTTGACACCACCAAGTCGAACTGCATCTCACTCTCTGTCAATCCCAGTTTCTCAAAGCACGCCTTCGAGATGAAGGAATGTGTTGTCCCCGAATCATACCATACACAATAAGATTTCCCATACAGCAAGCAAGTACCGATAATGAGGTTGCCTGAGCTTGTTGCTTTCGTGCCCGTTATTGCATAAACTCGACCAGTCGTTTGCGCTCGTCCACCTCTCCCTTGTTGAACTCTTCCAGCGTTTGGTGGCCCCATTGCAGCTCTACCCCCCATGTTACACTTGCTCTCCAGATGACCATTTCTTCTACAGCGAGTGCAAAACTTTCTTCCCACCAGTTGAGGACACGACGAACGGTAGTGGGGTCCTCCACATTGAAAACAAGTCACCGTCCCTTGCTGTCCAGACCGTCCGACAGCAACCACTGAATGAGTTTGAGACCCACTAGCATTAGAAGGCAACGCTGGACGAGCGTAAGGCGTCCTCCTCATATTCAAATTGCTTCTAGACGAGACCGGTCCCCTAACCGCCTGTTGTGGCTTCTTCTGCTGTTCTACTTCTGCCACGTTCTTCTCCAATACTTTGGCTCTTTCCACCATGACAGGAAAGGACTTAATACACGGGCTGGATATCAGCAGCTTCAAATCACTCCTCAGCCCATTTTCAAACTTCCTACACTACCACTCTTCACTGGTAGCCATAGTGTTAAATCTCACTAAGTGCTTGAACTTGTTGGTGTACTCTGACACTGACATCCCACCTTGCACCAACTGAAGAAACTCCACCTCCTTGGCAAAACGAATGCTATCTGGGAAGTATTCTTCATAAAACTTGCTTCTGAATACTTCCTATGAGATGGGACTTTGGGCGTCCGCTAGAATCATCTTCATACTCGTCCACCAATGACAGGCTTCCCCAGTCAAGAGATACTCTGCAAAGGCCAGCCTCTTGTCATCTGGACATCCTTTGGCATTATATATCCTCTCCATATCACGCAACCACTGATCGGCCTCATCAGGAAGGCACTTCCCATTGAATTTGGCTAGGTGATGCTGTAGAAAACTCTCTAAGCTCCACTCGGTCTGATGAGTAGCTGTGGAAGTGGAAGCTCCAGCTGTATTCCTCGTGGTTGATATGATCTCCATCAGTTTCCTTTGGGTCACTTCTGAGTTTGCCTGTGCGGCTTCCAAACTCTGCAAAGCGACCGTGTTCTGTTGCACCAAGGCAGCGTTCTGCTGTTGAAGCGCTTCTATTACTGATTCCAATAATCTTGTGTTGTCAGATGCATCACGATCGACAGGTTGAGGAGGAGGTCTCGGTGCCATTAGTTCTCTGAGAAACAGAGAAAGTAATCATTAGTTTAATTCAAGGAGTTTGAAATACTCATTAACGAACGTTGAGCACACAGCAAAAGTATAGTATACTCATAACCTACAGTGTCCCCTAAGGAACAAAACTGCTCTGATACCACTAATGTAACATCCCAAAAATACAGTCTAAAACTATATGATAGAATAATTACATTGAATAATATTACAGATCAGTCTTACAATAAAATAGTTGTATGTTTATGGCCGACGACCTTACAGAAAGAGCTAAAGCTAAAACTGTACAAGAGAAGTCATTCTGACCGAACGGTTTACAAAAGCCAACACGGGACGGTCATACAAAACAAAAGGATAAGGTGATCGAACGACCACCTTACTATCAGACTACACTACTGACCGAACGTCCTACTGTTCGATCTTAACTTCTACTTCTACTAAGTTATCTTCCTCTAGCGCCTCTTCCAGCAACTCTTCTCCTTCTGCTCACATCTACACGGAAGATCATTGCAACAGAAGGACAACCGAACGTACAAAATATGCAAGACAGGAAACACAGGGTAAGCTTATGTAATTTAATTCATGTATAAACATATATTTCACACAATCAACCAAACAAAATAAATTCATCATTCGTTCATGCAAAGCAAATACTAGACTGACTGTCCGGACTGTTTGAAATCATTGTAGCTACCACCTTCGTGCACCCGAGTGATGTAGTAACTGGGATACCCTCAACAGCTGCCACCCGAGGTTAGTCCTATCTGTCCAAATTAACCATAAGGACAAGGACCTCCTGTCATTCCCACACATAACTTACCCTCCTCTACGTGAGGACGAGTAATCACGGAACATCAGGATGAACCGCCAGCTTAGCATGCCCACATTCATACTTTACCAATTCCAATATACATTCATGAGTCATTCCTCCCCGGAACGTTCGTCCATAATCCAAAACATTTCGTCCATATCATATTCTCTTCATCTTTCATTATCAATCATCTCAATTTCACCTTTGTACAAAGATTATTAAGAACACCAAATACCGAACGTTCAATCCTAACTCAGAACAAGAACGAACACTTGGAGCGAGACAGAAAGGTCTCCAGTTCCAGAACAGATTAAGACCGAGAGGGTTTTTACAGGGTGAGAAAGAAACCGAGTACAATCATATATCACAAGAACGACTAGAACGAACATTACTTACAAAGTGAGCCAATTAAATGAACTAACTCTTGAGAGCTCAAACAGAACACCGCAAAGACCATTCCAAGTGTTAAGACTCTAGGCCGAAACCAATGAATAAGGACACTTCAAAGAATAATACTTAGAAGAATTCACATGATGAAACTGTACGCTTATAAATACTTAGCTTATTTGAATTTAGCCATCAAGAAAACCGAATGCCAGTCAATGACCGAGCACGGTAGAGAGAAAACTCTATTAAAGTTGGACGAACGCTATTTTCATCAAGATAGATCATTCATAAAAGAAAAGAGAATGAGCGCTTGGTGTAAGACCGAGCACTAATCAGTACGAGCGCTTGGTGTAAGACTGAGCACTACTCAGTACGAGATTTTGGTGTAAGACCGAGCACTACTCAACTTATAGTAGAAGACTTGATAAATAGAATAATATACGATTTGGAATAGTGTTTAA